TATATATATATATATGTCAGTAAAATTGTAACTGTTCCCTTCCTGTGAGAATGATACACTCTCTAAGAAGACCTTGGTTGTCAAACACAGCTGTGTCCAGAAACTGTCAAATAAAGGCAAAGAGGAGCGTCTGGAGCATCAGTACCAGCTGCTTTACATTTCCAACAAAGAGCTGGTGCTGCTCCCAGGAACAGTTTTTTTTTCTTTGCACAGTTCTGACTATAAATGCAAATAAGACTTTGTGAGGAAAAATACTCTCATGTCCTTTTCACTTCTGTGTTTAAATCACAGTTTAAAGTTGATCACATATTTCACAAAGAGATGAAACATATAGATGACTGAAGAAAAAGTACCACCAGGCACTAAATCCAACATGTCTTCAACAAAAGGCCTACTATCAGAAGGATTATGGGTGAGAAAATGAAACCCTTTATTTAGCCTATGAAGGTATAAAAAACAAGAATCTGAGTGTGATCAGTCTTTAAATAGAAATTTGTTCCACTGTGAAAAATGCAGCAAAACCTTGTCGAATTGATAGAACCTGCCTGGAATCTGTCACTTCAGCAGATGCAGCTGTTAATACAGCCGCGCCGTTCGCACAACGACTTTGAAGTCTGTTTACTTTCTGCTCTGCTCCGATCATTTTCAGGGAAGGCCACATGGGAGAGAATTAAAAAAAAAACTGAAAGGAGGATTTCTTTGTGCCCRAATGTGTTCTCCTTAGTTTGTCCACAAAGTAAAATCCACCTTGTGGTGGAAAGACAGAAAATAAAAATATGCAGGAAGGCTTGAACTTAAAACTAGAATCTTTCTTCCATCATCCCACACTGTGGGGGGTGTTCTCCTACATCAGGTATCTCTGAGGATGCTGAACGTTTGGCTCCAAACTCACCATGTGTRCCATGCCTCTGCTCCATATGATGCAAGGATTCTGATATTTCTGGATAAACCTAATAGGGTTTAACAGTCCAACAGATCTTCTGCTATTTCAGTTAACGTCATTTGTTTGGAATTTAATTTAAGAAGAGTTTGTGGCTTTTGTTTTAAGCTTGAAACTAAAGCTGTTTCAATAAAAAAGTAATATCTAGAGAGAGCCTATTCTGAAATCCTCATGATGTCATAATCTGGCAAAAAAGTCTTTGTGCCTGAAATCAATATGAGAAATACATATCTGACACCTGTCATTGGCCTCTGTTTATAATATTTTTAAAATTCAAACTTAGCACAAAATGGAAGGAAATTTGTATTTGGTTGATTAATTCAATGCTTTTTTGATAAAAGCTCAAAATAAGTGTCGGTAACAAGGATTTGGCAATTTTTTTTCATGTATTCAACCCACATTCTCAGCTCTATCCCACAATGTTCCCCATGAATGTGGCACCATCAGGCTTTCCAATGGTWGAAGACTAATTGTCAAGAAGCTTTGTTACAACAGAGATAATCTAACAAACAAATTTTCTTACTTTTTGCACTATGTTTAAATGCTTGGTAGAATAGAAGAATAGAAGGTCAGATCAACAAATCTAAAATCAAAGGCCAGTGCAGAAAAACTGAGACCAGAACACTGAAGAACCTTATAGAGGAGAGCCATGGTGTGATAGCACAGGGATGAACAGGTGAGAGGAAAAAGACAGAGAATAAATGGACTGAGGCTGGAGATGGGAGACAGCTAAGCGAGACAGAAAAAAAGTAATTGGGTGTGGCAGGATTGAGGAGCTGGAGCTTAACTGAGGAAAAGTGCAGAAAAAAACTCAGACAAGGGCAAAATGCTAAATAATTAAGCGAAAGAAATAAACTCAATGACAAAATGAAAAAAAAAAGACATTCTGAAACATTTTAATGCAGATTCTAAGTGTGCATTTCTGTTTAAATGCACTAAAAAAGTTTTTAGCCTACTCCCCCTCCCAAAAAGGGGGGAGAGATAGAGAGAGAGCGAGAGAGAGATAGAGAGAGCGAGAGAGAGAGACTATAGGCTATTTGATTGGATGCTGCAGTGTTTCTGACAGGTTTTAGGAGGAAAATAACCAACGGCGCAGGCAGGTTCAAAAAAATAAAAAAATAAAAATAAAAACCAGGCCTTTTAAATCAAAAAGCTGGCAGTGCAGCACTTAAAAACTCACTTGGATAAGTCAGGTTTACAAGAAACACAGAGGCAGGACACAGTCAGGGCTGACAGAACAATGATCTGACAAAGACAGAAGACACGACTCAGAATATAATGCAAACAAATTAAGAGACAATGGGAAACACCTGGGGAGACACAAGAGGAAACAGGTCAGTGTGGGTGGGGCTGGAGGTGAGACAGCAGGGAAGAGAAACACAGAGAAAACACTAGAAAATGAAGACAAAAACACAGATCATGACCGATTCTGTTTGTAAAAGTTCTGATAACAGCATCAGCATGTCAGTAAGAGAAACTTCATGTTTGCTTCACGCTAGGTAATCTTCATGTCTGCAGGACTGATGCCCCCCCCCGAGGTCCAACTTTCTTCGAAAAATATGAGTGAGTTCCTACAGTTGGCCTTTTATTGGATAAACTTCCTGTCACTGCAGCATCTGAACTGATATTTTGGTTCAAAGAAACAAATAAGTGTCCATACAGGTCAATTAATGGTTAAGTTGTGTCCCCCCCTCCCCCCAAATTTTACTTTAAAGATAAAACTTGGCTTGTAACCATCTCCACATGCACGCACGCACGCACGCACGCACGCACACATGCATCCCCCCGCGCACGCGTGACAAACACGGACTTTAAACGTGAAGTTTTATAACATCCACACTGGCGAGGTGGATGCGCCCTGCGCGTGTATCCAAAGCTTTTGCTGTCCTGCTGTTCTTGTCGGGGAGGGGTCTGTGGGAGGGGTCTGTGGGTCAGGGAGGGGTCTGTGGGTCAGGGAGGGGTCTGTGGGTCAAGGAGGGGTCTGTGTGGGTC